ACGTGCCATTGGGGTCCGAGAAGGGGGGGGGAACCGGCGGCCGTTCCCCGCCAGGAGGCCGCGAGGCGCCCCGGAACCCCCTGCCTCTTCGGTGGCGGCGCCGGCGCCCTCGCCGACGCGCCCCCGCCTTTTTCCGGCCCTCCGCTACCCGGGCCTCGCTCGCTGCTGCCCGTGGATGCTGCGCCTGTCGGAGCGGAACATGAAGGTGCTCTTCGTCGTCGCCCTCGTCGTGGGCTCCGTCTTCTTCCTGTTGCTGCCGCCACCGTCCGCGGCCGACGAGAAGAAGAAGGGGCCCAAAGTCACCGTCAAGGTCCGGGCTTCCCTGTCCGCCCTCCTGCGAGGCCGGTCCTCCGCCGCCTGGGGTCCGGCCTCGGCGCCGCTGGCTCGTGGCCTCCGAGGCACTGGGGTCCGGAGCTCCGGCCCAGACGTCCTTGGCTTTGGCTCAGTCCCTCCCTAGGCTCCCAGCTGTAGTCTCGTGGCGCCTGGGCCTCCTGTCCTTTTCAGAGCAGAGCATGGCCCTGCCCTTCCCGCCACACCTCGCCGACCCGGGGAGTTGGAGCCGGCTGCCAGCTGCGGCCGGCACTGTAAATGCCCCGCGGTCCTGGGGAACAGGTGAAATCGCATCTGCCAGATTCCGAATGCTTTCCCCTGTACAGCCAGATTTGAGCCACTTCAATTACAAAGCACAGCGAGCATAGCTTAAACCCCTCCCTGTGGGTTTTTTAATGTTAACGTTTAGATTCTGGGCCTATTATTTACTTGGAGCAAAGGTTATCCTGCAGTCTAAGAAGAGTGTAAACAAACCTGTTTTCCATTAAATTCTCACAGGTTTTTTGCCTCCGAAATCAGATTCAGAACCTCTATTCTAGAAATCGGGCTCTACCTCCCATCTGCAGGCTCTCTTCCTGTACCCTTCTTTTACTACCAAGGGAAGAGACTAAGTCTGAAATGGTCTTTTTCCTCAGGTGTTCTTCAACCTCCGAATTGGAGATGAAGACGTAGGCCAGGTGGTCTTTGGTCTCTTTGGAAAGACTGTTCCAAAGACAGTGGACAATTTCGTGGCCTTAGCTACAGGAGAGGTAAGTGGCTGGAGCAGAGACTGTCAGTGCAAATCGTGTGGAGTTGGCAGCAGACAGCTGCACTGGGCAGTCTTGGCGTGGTGGCCCTCGCTGCATGCCAGCTGACTGTCGCCCCAGGAATGCAGCATGCAGCACTGACATATCTTAAGAGTAAGGGGCCCAGAGCTTCCCAGGGAGACTTCCCCTGGGGAGATAGTAAGGGGCTCTAGGGGACAAATGGGTCCTGCTGA